TGATTGCTGGGTTCCATTACCCAAACCTACAGCAAGCTTTGCCACGAAGAGGTCGATTTCAACCGTTTTGTATCACCGCAAACCCAGCAACACATTTCACCGCGAAGAGCTTCATTTCAACCCGTGGGATGCCACCCAAAGCCAATCAACAAGCTTCGGTACGAAGAGGAGGATTGCATTCCAAGGGTGCCCCCGAAAACCCAACAACAAGCTTCGCAACGAAGAAGTCGATGGCAGCCGGGTGTGCCCTCGCAAGCCCACCAACAAGCTTCGCCACGTAGAAGTCGATTGCAGCTGTGGGGTGCCCCCGCAAACCCAACAACAAGCTTCGCCGCGTGGAAGTCGATCGCAGCCAGCGGGTGCCCCCGAAAACCTACGAAGAGGTCGATTGCATCCGGGGGTGCCCCCGAAAACCCAACAACAAGCTTCGCCACGAAGAAGTCGAATGCATTGATTACAGCCTGGGGGTCTGGGGGTGCCCCCGCAAGCCCACCGACAAGCTTCGACTTTGCGGTAAACCCTTCCGGATGAAAGCTTTGGAGAAGCGGCACAGGCACGACGAGAAACAGGCGGGGGAGAAGAGGGAAGATGGATCAGAAAGAGGCAAGGACAAGAAGCCGGAGAAAACGACGAGGAATAACAAAGGAGAATTCAAGCCGGACTGTCGCGCCTTGGACCAACCCTTTCGAAGGCTAGGACGGTCATGGTGCGTGGTGACGGACCACGAAACCACTACCCTTAGTGCCGCCCTTGGGGACCTGCCTAGCGACCTTAGCCAAAGGAGGAGCCGTCCAAGGACCCAGGGGAGAACTGTGATTCGACCTCGACGTGCTCGGTCTTGGTCATTCGACGCATCAGTCCCAGACGAGTTCAAGCGTCGAAGTAGTGTTCGGGCTCCAACACTGTCGAGCCAAAAGCCCCAATGCATCGTTGCGTGGACACCGCAGGCTCTCAGTCTTGCTTGTCACCAACTCGATGTTGAGGATGTTCATGTTTCAATCCGGACATTGGCCGTCAATGCTGTCTCTCATGTTCGGGAGTTAGAACGGTCACACCTGCGAGATCGTGACTTGTGCACCGAGAAGAAACCTCACAGACACAACCGTAGGGTTTAGGATTTGGGGGTTTAGAAACCTCTTAAGCAGAGACGTCGTGGTGAGAGGTCGATGACGAAGCAGAACTACAGGCCGACCGAGATCAGCAAATTCTGCAAGAGGCCATCGAAGTTCTTGGCAGCGTTTCAGGTTTGAGAAGGGTTTACGAGATGTTGCTTGGTCGGAACTGCTGTGATGCTCGCAGCCACGGGCGCAGCAGCAACAAGGACGAAGAGCCAGCTACAATGTTAATCGTGACCGCTGCGGGCAAGACTTCGGCCAACAAGTCGAAACTCACCAAGGCTTGTTTGTTGGCCATTCCGCTCGTCATGCCAGGCATGTCTCCCGGTCTCTGGTGCCCCGATGCCTCCCAGCGAGGGTCCACCCAAGGAGTCGTTCGCCTCTCACATCAACACGTGTTGTGATCTTGTCAACTACAGTTTCCGTGAGGATGCTGACGAGTACCTGCGCCAGGTGCAGTGGGAGAGACTGCACTGTCCGGAGGCCGATACCCATGCGATGTAATAGGGGTTGTCTGCATCAACTACTGGATCATACTCTCAGCAAAGCTTCACGGGCACAAGTCGGAGCTTCAAGGGAGGGTGCACGGAGAGGTCGTCGACGTCGATGTGAAGGAGCGGAAGTCGAAGCGCAAGGTGACTTGATTGCGGGTGGTCAAAGCCGTGATGTAGCCTTGCTTTCTACCTAACGATACAGCATTCGACATCTGCAAGTAGCTACCGGACAGCAGAGCATACCAAGATTGGTTTGGAGAAGATAGGATCCCTTGCTTACGGGCTTTTGCTGCACTTCTTTGAGGTCGATGGGCCCCTCAGTGGAAAGGACGGCTCTGGAGGTCTGCTCGCGCTGTTCCAGGCACCCGAGGTGCCAGCCCGCTTCCGCCACGCAGAGGCCTGAAGAGCACCGAAGACTGGGAGAGGTGTCTAGAGCAAGGTCAGCTTGTTTGCTGGCATACTTGTAGTGCACACATCTTGCAAGCCTCCTACGAATGGTGCCCCGAGGGGGATGGATCTTAAACTCAGTGCAAGCTTCGCCGCAGTTTCACTTTGTGTGGGTTTGGAGCTATAAGATTTCCCGTCGCAGAAGCTGAAGAATTAGTGGCAGTTTTGAGCTCGGCACGGGTGTTTGATTGCTTTTAAATTCCAGGCGTGGGCCTCCGATGCCGCCGCTTCGTTTCGGCACCTCCGCGCGCTGTGTGAACTCGAGCGGAAGTCTGGAAAGCGGGCGCAATCACTCTCCTACGAGGTTTCCTGGCTGCATCTTACAGCATGTTCGAAAATCTTCTCAGGCATGTACTAGGTCAGGCCAGGAACACATGAGCCCATGCTGATCATCACTGGGTACACACAGACATGTCGGTTGAACGTATGACTAGAGAAGCAACCGACTGCAACATCAAAACGTTCAGAGCGTGAAGAGAACCATCCGGCATACTTCTCACATAGAAATAAAAGAAATCTGTACAATCAGATATCGTCCATGCCCCGCACATGAGGCTACTGCTACATGAGTGACTCCTCAGGCGTAGCCTTTGCGACTTTGCAACGCTAGAGATCCACAAATTGTAGCCTCTTCCATTCAGAAAACTGCCTTCTCCAGGAGTGGCGGCGACATGTTGCAAAGGATCGGCCAGACTCGCAGCTGCTTGCAGCCCAGGATTTCGTGGGAATCAACCATCTCGTGGTGCCTCGGCAGGCAGGAAGGTCTAGCATTGGGCCTACATGATCAGCCTAACAGCCTCTGCGAGGTCCAGATACATCACGAAATCCGAAGTCACTGTGCTCACGTCAACACAGTTAGCTGCAGAGGTGGTGGCCATCGACAAGTTCGAGAAAGACCTAGAGCGCCTTGTCAGTTCCAGACCTAGCTCTGCTCAACCAAAAGCCTTTGCTGATGCTAGGTCTTTTCAGTGCGCCACGCACGAGAGCGACGCTGGCTTCCTGTCTGGGTTTCAAGGCGAAGGCGTCCCAGCTCAGCAGCAGTTTGGCGACAGCTTTTGTTTCGACGCACGATGACGGCGTTGATGATGATGGTGACGATGACGATGACCCTGGCGGTGATTGGGTTTCACAGCTGTTGTTCTGTTGCTGAGGGTGTTTTGGTTCTGGTGGTTGTGGATGAGGCGTGGTTTGTGGTTGTGGTGGTGGTAGTTGGTTTTGGTGGAGGTGGAGAAGGCGGTGGAGGCCGGGGAGGTGGGGCGTTGGGGTGGTGGTGTCGGGGTGTCGATGTTGATGTTGGTGTGTTTGTGGCTGTGGCTATGGTGGTGGTTGTTTCTGTTTGCCGTTGTTACAGAGCTGTGGTGCTTGTTGTTGTTGTTGTGATGTTGGTGACGGCTGCGACAACGGCAGTGGTGGCGGTGCTGGTGGTGTCTTTGAGTTACTGCTGCAACTGCTGTTGCCATCTCACTGCTGTTACTCGTGTTACTGTTGCTGCTGCCGCTGCTGTCTGTTGGTGCCGCCATGGATCTGTTTCTTCTGCTGTCCCTACTATTGGTGAGCCAGCTTTCTTCGACGACGATGGCGACCCGACCATGACGAAGCTCTACCATATTCTAATGTGCAAAGCTTGCACCTCCTGTTTAAGAGCAGTGGATTCCCAACAGAACTGACTCTGACCAGGGGTCGATTCAGTCAGCGAATGGATATTTGCGGCGCTGGCGTTTGTGGAGGAACCCTTGGTCGTTTGGCCCCCAGCTCTTTGGTTTTCCCGACAACGACTTGTAGTGCTTCTGTATGCACTCAGACTGCAGTCCGTTGATCATGGGATGAGGGGTTTCTAAATCTGTCTGAAGCTTTGCAGCTGCACATTGAGCAGCTGTGGACCAAGGACGACATTCAGTATCAGCTGCAGCGGTTGCGACGCGTTTGCTGCCGTTTCGCTGCGGCCGTTGAGGGGACAGCTGCGAAGGTCAGAATGGATCAGCAAAGTCGCGCAAAGGGTTGAGTCGAGCTTGTTTTGGTGCTGGGTTCAGGCTTGCCCAAACCTTCCTTACGTCTCCACTTCCATGAGAAGCTCCAATTCCGCACCGCTTTGCAAAGAAAACAGCAGGGCGGCAGAAAAGCAAGCTTGCTGCGAAGGCAACCCGGGTCATAGCTTTCAGCCTCAGTGCTTAGACTGCTGTGCTTCGAAGCATTGTGTTCGAAAGGCTGATAGCGACGTGGAGCCAGGCAGGATCCTTCTGCAACTTCATAGACAGGCACTGTCAGTGTTGTTTCGGCTGCACCAACACGTCGGCAGTGCGAGTTCGAGTGTCTTACATGTCTGAAGTCTTGTGTACAGTCCATGCACACCTACAATATTGCAGATGCACGGGCAGGTGCAGCTGAAGCCACCTGTGCTTTCCTCCATCCCCGGGTGGCGCTGCTTCTTGTCCTCGTCATCGAGGTCTTCGGACAGACCGGCGCTCAGAGACTAGCCGTGCGCTGAGTTGCAACCATCACCTGGCTTCCTAGGCATTGAAGCAGGGCGGTGTGCTTGGAGCCAGCACCTGAAGCGACAAAGCATCTCAAAACTGCGAGCCGATGCGCAGCGGGGAATGGATGTGGTCTTGAAGCCAGCAGTCGAACAGCAAAAACTGACACTCTCATGGCATGCATGCACAGACAGTCATGGCCTGAGATTCGAGCTGGCTTGGAGCTTGTTTTGAGCATCCACAGAGCATTCTCACTCTTGGGCGACTGCTGCAGGACCAGGGGAGTTATATACTTTCAAGTGCAAGACCCAGGCTTCCCCGGCACCGTCTGACACATGTACCTAATACCTGGTGAGCACAACTTATCAAGCAGGGAGAAGCCTCCCAAAGGCATGTAGTGAGCTGCAGCAACTTCTGGGGCAGGGTCAGGTAGGCGAGAGCCACATTGCTGGCAACCGCCATGCCGCGCAGCTATGGCAGATGGCACTGGTCTGGAGCTGGCATGGAAGCAAACATTGATGCTGTGCAGCCAAGTTTACTCCTCAGGCTGAAAGAAGCACCACAGGGAGTGCATGGCAGTGAAAAGCGCGTGGTGCTTTGCATGAAGGCCATCACAGAGTATGGCCTGCGACAGCAGTGGCGGGAGTCAACGCACTTGCTGGCAGCAAGGACCTTGAGTTCCATTGCAAAAAATTCGCGCAGCAGGTCGCAACGGCAGTTTTTGTGCGCCGAGGTCACAAACGAAGAAAGCGTCGCCCCAGACCTTCAGCTGCCTGGCGGGAGAACCAGACTCAGCGTACCAGCTTTGGACCGTGGTCTGACTGCAAGGCTTTACAAAAAGGCAGCCAATGCATGTCGCGAAGCTGGTCAGTGGGAAGCCTGCGTGCACATGCTTCGCAACCTTGGCCAACTACGACAAGCAGGCGACGGCCAGGGTTTGCGGCAAGTCCCATCAAGAAAGGTTGGTCTCGACCTGTCTCCATGAGTAGATGTGGGCTTTTCAGAAACTTGCGCCTTCATGTTGCTCTCTTGGTTGCGAGTGGAATTGTTACGGGATTCATCCGGTCAGCAAAGATTTGGGAGAGAGAAACAGCGCCCTGTTCGATGTTGATGCGATCTTATTCCGTATCAGAGAGTGTCATAGAGCAAGCACAGGAGCTGTCTTCGGTGTTGTTTGGTGTTGGATGGGGCAAGATTGCATGTGGAGAGCAGTGTTCGAAACGAGAGGCCTGCAAGCCGACGTCGTGCGAAGCTCAGCGACTCCTTGTGGGGCCGAACACTTCAGACCCCTGACCCAGCCTTCATACCAACTTCGGGCACAACGTTGTCCGTTTGCCAGCATCAAAGCAAAAAGCGCATATTCAGAAAAGTAAGCTTGTCTCTTCCAAAAAACTCTGCATTTCTGCGGTGTCGCCGGCTCCAGCCAGGCTGCTTCTTGCTCTTCTTCAAATTCCGTTGTTACGAACCTACACCATCCGGAGCCACCATGTCACGTCTGTCAATCAGCAAACCGGCTGGTCAGTCCAGTAGTGCCGAACCCAGCTAAGTCAGAGGAGGCTGGATTTTTTTTGGCAGCCTGAAAACAAGCGCAATGTGGCCCATCTGTGCTACATGGTCACAGGATGGCACAAGGCACTTTTCCCGTGTAGTCCCGTCAGCGAATCAGCATCGTGTCTCCTGGACACTTGCCGCCGGAGGCCATCGTGCAACGAGCGTGTGGTTTTCCCATTTGCGTTTCCACATGAAGACCGCGGCTCCTGAAGTGTAGACAGTAAATTCCACGGGCGAATCTCAGAAGAAGGTAAGCCTTCTCTTTCCCCACTTCAACGTGGTATGTGAAAAAGAGCGGATGGAGCGTAACCTGTTGCCATGCCACATGCCGGTGCGTCAAGCTGTGTCCCTTGAGGTGATTGTTGGCACTGTAATGGCTAGTGCTGCCAAGCTTGTCTCCTCCAAAGACCCTTGGGACATGGCCACGCTGGCAGCTCGGCCAAAGCCAGTCCTCATTTCGTGGTCTGTAAGTTCTGTTTAGCCTGGGGGAAAATATTTTCCCGCCAACAATTACCGGAGGCAAAGTGGCGACGCGGTTTGCACATCCTGCAGGGTGCCGCGCAGGTGGGAGGTCCGACGACGATAGTTCAGTTCTTGAGGCAAATGCCGATGAGAGAATGACAGCCCCTTGACAGGATGGAATTCAGCCCGATCCGACGTTGATCGGAATTTGCATATCTGCTTGTGGCAAGGCGATTTTTAGCTGCTCTCGCAAAATATGCAATGCAGCCTCGTAAGTGGATGCAAAGTTCAGTGGCTTTCCATGTATCCATGTATCTTGCAGCATGGCAGAGGCTGCCGAGGGCATAACATTGGCTCTTCTCCTTGGTCAGGGCAAAACATGGGAGCCTGCCAGCTTCCTACTGGCGGACATGCGCTGGAAGACTCTGCAAGTGGAGGATGCATATGCAGGCCATTGGGCACCCAGCAATCCTCATGCATCTATGCTTGGCGCTGGCGCTGAGAAGCTGTTGTTTTTGCAGAAGCAGCGCTTTCCCGCCGAACAAGCGAACATTGCAAAGCCACCTGTGGGTGCTTCCCGTTGTCGTGGATGCCTGCATAGCCGGAGGAGCACAACTTGCCGCGTTGAATTGCGACAATGGCTGGCCATCGGCGTTGGCACTATTCCGACGCTTGCCACATTGTTCCGGGAATTTGTCGGTAGAAATCAGAAGAGGTTGTTTTCAAGCAGATTTGGGATTGTGAAACAAGATTCACGAGCTGGGACAAGCCAGCATCTCTTGCAAAAGAGCTTTGTCAGGGAAGGCACTATTTGCGCCATAACATCTGAAAATGTTCATATTCATGCTCTATTGCATGTTTCCAGACATAGTTGGTATACAGGTGTACGTAGCCAACATAAAATATACTGTGTAGAATAAGAAAGAAATATGTTGCTGTCTGCTACTGCATCCAATACACCACCACACGGAGTCCAGGCGATCTCCGGCATCGGCCGCAGCTGGCGCTGACCACGGTATGCTGCTCAGACACAGGGCTCCAGACTTAGGCTTTTTGAGATGCGACATGTTCTGCACAACATCTGCAAAATACAGTACATACATATAGTGGCAAGAAAGACCACCAGGAGAGATGTCAGTAAGACCTGCGATGTCGGAAACAGGCAGCAGTGGCAGCAACAGCAGCAGTAGTAGCAGTAGTAGTAGCAACCATAATACGAGTAGTCGCGGTAGTATCATCAGCCGCAGCAGCAGCAGGGTAGTAGCGCTGGCAGCAGGCCAAAAGGAGCCTGAAACCCGAATCAACGCTTCCCCAGGCGGCTTTAAATGCAGCAATGCTCGCTGCCGATCTTGGGGAAAGACCGGGCCGTGCACTTCGTCTCCTCCTAGCGGCGACACGGCGGCAAAAGTCGGATCCAGGCTGTAGGGCGTCGTTATCACGATGGAAGGTTGCCTCCCTCGGCTTCGAAGTCTGGAATACCCAATGAAGTTATTGAAGAACTTCTGCAGCTAGGTGTGGTTTTTTTTGAGCGGTGTGGGCTGTGGAGCCTTTTTGGGTTGCAGTTTGCAGGATTCCAAGCGTCTTATACCAGTGCCAGTCGTACTGAGCAGTCCGAAAAGCCGTGCTGGCGCTAGCAAAGCTTACACCATGCAAACCATAGCGATAGCAACGAGCTTTTGGCTAGTCTTATTTGTATCCTCTGTGTCTCAAGAGGCTTCTCTCTCAAGCTCAGCAACTCACACCCTACTTTGAACCCCAGAAAGGCCTTGCACCCCTACACTTCGAACCCCAATTCACACGAATCTCTGTTTAATTCTAGGTCCAGCGGCTTGGCCTCGTGGAGACGAACGTGTTGAGCGTGACGTCGCCCGGTCGGTTTTGGGGCATGGCTCTTGAGGAATTTGGAAATTGGGCGCACTATTTGGAAGTTGTGTCTTCAAGTCCGGATTTGGCTGTTGGGCTTGGAAGAGTTGGGGTTACGGTGTAGTGGGTGACAGATGTGAAAGGTTTGGAGCTCGAGGGTTTAAGTTTAGACTGTTTCGGCTGTGTTGGGTCTTGATTACAGCTTTCAGGTGTTTCACAGCCTGCGTGCAGAGGTTGGAATGCTTCTGCATGGGTTTGCAGCCTCTGTGAGCGCCCAGAAGTCCGAAGTTGCCCTGCTCCAGGATGGGCTTGACCTGTTTGGATGAGATGATCGAAGGAACGAGCTGCGAGCCCCCTAGCCGTTGGGTGGCCTGGGAGATGGCATCCAGGCCGGCGGTATAGAGCGGAATAGTCAGTTAATGATTGCCTTCCTTTCCTTTCTCACGCTGCAATTGGATGCTTAGCGATTTCCTTTCTTTGAGTTGCAGTCTATGGACTCATCGGATGGCAGGATTTTCGATGATTCTCGGAAGAATGCCGTGGAGCCGAACCGAGTTACCTACACCTCCCTGGTAGGCGCCGCACTATTTCCAACAGACTCGGGGCTACTAGTTTCCGGGGTCGGCTGCTGATGGGTGGCATTTTTGTTCTCCAGTAGAGAGCTGATTGATGGTATTTGTGTTCGCGAGGACCACGACCCGAGCAAATTCACCCGGAAGGTGTAGTTACTTGTAGTAAACTGCTCTACAGCTTAGGGGTTGGAGGCTGGAGGTTTAGTTTTGGGTCTCGTCGGGGCTATATGCTTTCTGCCAGCTGAACCACTACCACGGTTCTTGCTATTTCTTGCCATAATGACGATCATGACGAGACTGTGTGTATCGTAGAAGATTTGAAAGGGAACAGGTGATCAATGCTTCTGCACTACCACAATTCTCCGCAAGACTTTGCCAGCCAACGATCGTTCGTCTATCTAGGTCGATTACGGAGGTCGTTTTTTGGCTCGGCAGGTATATGACGTGTATTTTTGTTGCACATGCCAGCGCACAGAACACCTCCGTTTTTTCGCTCTTGTCCATCGGCGCGAATGTACGCATGCGTGCATATCGCTTCTAGACCCGAGCCTAGCACATGTGCCATCGCTTGAGCTCATCCTTGTAATTGTGGAAAAATTGCGTTGTAGCTAAGTCTCCGAATATCAGGTTTTAGTGCGTGCGGCGTGCATCAGTTGTGGCTGTCCATCGTGGTACTACGGCTTCGCGAGTCACATGTTGAATCAGCATATGGTTCCCTCGCCCCCGCAAATGGGTGCTAAAACAGATATGTTCACTTGTTGATACGCTTGCAACGCCACGGTTAGTGGCCGTGCAGGTGAAAGTTTGGGTCTTAGGAGCTGTCAAGCGACTCCGGCTCTTGACATCCAGAGAGGCAGCTAATTTTCATCATGCCGTCCTCTCCGTCCCATTTATCCAAGCTTCAGAGAATGCCTACTTATGAAGCCATCTGGCCATCACTTGATATCTCCTGGCGCCGCGTCCTTTTTTGCGCGTTCATTGTGAACAGTGTTCGCGGCCATATCAGACAGACTTCACGGAGCGAAGTTGGAGGCCATGCCACGTCTCTTCTTTGTTCTTCTTGCTCTTGCGGCTAGATTGGAAAATGCTACAGTCTGCTTGATCGCGCTGGCACGTCTGCCATTACTAATACAATTACTATCCTGTTGTCGCGTTGCAAGGCCTACACGACAAGGCTGGGCGCTGGGAGTTCGCACAGCTATTGGTTCACCAGTCACGCTTGGCCCGTGTGGCATTTGATTCGGCTGCCTACCGAGCAGTGCCTGGACTGGTGAGGCGTATTAGCGGGAGTTAGTCACACGATTTTGGGGATGTTCTCATAGAGCCTCGAGTTTGTCGCGTGCTGAGGCAATGCAGGTGACGCTGGGCCAGTCGTTTGCGGCTACACTTGCAGAGAATTCGCCTCTCTCGCCACGGATCAGCTCCCAGGTCCGCAGGTTCGCAAAATGTGGAAAGACCCTCACGCCTGCCCGTCTCGAGAATCTGACCGTTGCTTCGCATAGAACGGCATGGAAAGATTGCATCTTCACTCTGCCTCTGATGCGGCTCAGAATACAGCTCCACAACGAGTTCAGAATTTAGAGCAGTCCCTTGGCCACCACTGGGGGCCTCGAGATAGAAAGCAAGAAAGACAAAGGCACATATGCACGGTCAGAGCCCACTAGTCAGCTGATTTTTGCAGTAGAAGCTCCCCCGGTCCAGAAGAGAAGACTTGGCCATGAGCCGATCGCTGCTGCGTGTACCCCTGGCGACGTCCCTGTCGCGAACCACCAAGGCGGCAGCGTCTTTGCTGCTGTGAGTTACATTGGTGAAGGGCTGCGGCTGGGAAGACAGGTGAATGAGGCAAAGCACAACTAGTAACTAGTACTGGAGCATTGATCATCATGGCCACCACCATCACAGCACACAAGTCACGAGGCGGCTCTTCCACGGTATCGCCTTGCACCACGGCAAGACGACCTGCGACACGCGACACGCAGGTGGCGAAGCTCTGGCACTGCATGCACTCGAGCACATGGGTCCCAAAAAGCATGTCTTAAAATCTAAACACTTCTGGCATTCATTCGGCAGGCTCATCAGGTCTGTTTGGGTCATTACTTCAGAAACATTTCTCAGTGCCTCTAACTCAGAATTCGACAGTACATAGGATCCCCAAGCGAAAGGTGCATGCTCAAACTCTGCGTTTGCATTGAAGTGCTAGGCCAGGAAGCTGGGACGCAGCGATCTGTGACGAAGAGAACATCGACCATGATGACGAGAACCTGTTTCCTGACGCTCGACCAACCTGTGGTATCTCAGTTTTAAGGTTCCGGTTTCGGCCAGGGCCTTATCATACCCGAACGTTCTGCGACCCACGACAGCCATCAGGTCACGCATGCCAGTGTTTGGGATCGGATCACAAGACTGTCAGTCAACAACCAGAGGGATGTGTCAAGGACGACAGCGCGTCGCTAGCTACCCGGGACCCTTGGTCTTGGGTGCCACAAGCAGGCTCGCGTACACAAGGAGGTTAGGCAGTTGTGCATTGTACCCCAGTGAATCTCGAATCTGATCGTGATGTAAGGCCCCAAGCACAGACCGCTACAGGCCCCAGCTACTACGATGAGTTTTATGGGCAGATGTCCAACAACAAATGGAGAGCCAAGCGTGATCCTCGGAAACTTGTGCAAGCCGAAGTGGTATCAGGCGCACAAAAGCATGATGCATCAAGCTTCGGGTGCAAAAGAGAGTGTAAGAAGACAGACGATGTGTAACATGGAGATGACGAGACACAACAGGATGCGCGAGCAGATCTGTGGAGATACGCACGCATGTTGACATCATATCTATCGCTAATCGTCCCGAGGTGGTGGAACCCAGCCGCAGGCCATGGGCAGTGGGGCATTTCAGGAAGACAAGCTTAAGTTTACTACAAGAGTGCCAAGCTGATGCCCACATCCAACTGTCAGTTGTGCAGGCTTGCCTCAGCAGCCCGGGCGACGGGCCACCATACAGGCAGACATTGCCCAATTGGTTGCCAGCGGCCAGCCCAAGGAGACATCTTCTAACGAAGCTGCTTACTTACATCACACTAGCACGGCTTCCGAGTGGTGCGATCCCTGTCAGGAGGAAGTCTACCGCGCCATCCGCGAAGCCTACGATGTGAGCGGCGGCTTCTTGGACGAGGAGGAGGATGACCGCGACAATTCCGAGAGATAGCCAAAGGCGAATCTCACAACTCGGAAAAGTTGCCATCATATTTCAACAAATCCTAAATCTGCATTATTATCTATTTGATCTAAGTTATGATTTTGGTAATAGAACAGATTTCGTAAGTCGTTGTTAATAAGCATTGAGATATTCTTTACATTCTCCATGGGGACGAGGACTGAATTAATTATAATCGTTCCGAATTCAAATCTATTTTATGGAATTGGAATTTCTGAATATAAACATAATTCAAGAATGATAAAGGATGATTATTGAAATTTATATCTTAATCTTCTATAAATCTATAAGCTAATCAACTAAAACTTGAAAATGCTTTATTTTTTGATTTATAGAGATATATGAAAATCTAGGAATTAGGTATTTGTTTTTTATGGAATCTGCAGAATTTGATAAATATGAGATAGTTCTTTTGATTTCGATTTTTTTATGTTTTCTTAAAGATTCAGCGATTTCAAATGATTGATTTGTTTATGCTACAATTGGATTGACACTTATATTTCGGCTACTAATTATATACAAAAAGTAATAGGAGCAATAATCTTGGGATTTTCTTGTGAAATATAAATATATAGTTATTTGTCGATTAGAAAAAGAGAAAGATGAAAGATGGGAACACTAAAATGAAATATTGAGGGAGGTTTCGATAAAATTGATGATTCTATTATGATATATTATTTATTAGCGGCGAATTATAAAGAAATCGATTCTTGGGAAATGAAAATTTTGAGAAATAAAAAATAATGATTTGAGATTTCTATATTAAGGAAGGAAAGATCTATTAAACAACTACGTTTAAATTCGAAAAAATTATATTATTGTTATTGATTAAATCTAGAATAAGAATAATAAAAGGAATTTCATATTAAATCTTTCAAGTTCGAAAAGCATCGTTTTGTATCTGGAATGAGTATCGGATATATTTAATATATAACAACAATTAAAATTCTATATAAAATATATTTAGATATATAATAAATATCATATAAATGATATGAAAATGAAATATTACTCATATCAAATTTATGAAAAATAAATATAAGATAATTATATTCTTCTTCTAATCTAATTTAATTAAGATCTTAAATGAGATATTTATAATAATATATCTAAATTAAATTTGAATATAAAGAATCTTAAATGAAGCATTTCTGATATTTGATTTATTTTATAGATAAATAGAACATAGCTATGATCTTTTATCATATATTTCGGGTATATTAATTTTATTGAAAAATTTCGAATATATAAATATTGAAATTATTAAGATTAGATTTGGATCTTTTATAAATATCTTTCTAATCAATGAATATCGAATGATATGATGCGATATAATCCGTCTGATATAGGTCGCGGCATGATTCGGTATGAATAATATAGAATGAATTTGAACGAGCTTTGAAATGAACTAATTCTAAATTTCTCATAGATATATTTCGGATCTTATCTTATTAATTCATATCAAAAAAATATGAAAAATATTTCGATATTCTGACGAATTTATGATGATAAAAACGAAAATATTTTGCTATTTTAATTTAATTCGGATTCTCGTCTTTCATTGATATATATATATATTTCTGATATATATATATATTATATTAATGTTTTTTCATATATAGAGGAAATCTATCGATTCTATCGACGATCTCTAAAGAATATGATATCATCTATATAGGTATATATATAAATAGATTCGGAAAATTCATAAGCACATATAAATATATCTAGATTTGTACTAGCACATGGACATTCATAGATATATATATATAGAAATAGATATATATAGGCACAGATATAAGCACCCAGGTAGGCGGGCGGGCAGGCGGGCAGATAAGAAGGCAGACAGGCTGGTAGATAGGCTGGCAGACAGGCAGATAGGCAGACAGACAATTAGGCAAGTAGGAGGCAGGCAAGCAGGCAGACAGATAGCGATATAGATAAATAAATATCAGAAATATAGGCAGCTAACTAGATAGGCAGACAAGCAAATAGAAAGATAAATAGATAATTAGATAAATAGATAAGCGGCCAGGCAGCCAGATAGATAGATAGCCAGATAGCCAGATAGAGAGGCAGACAGGAATATGAATAAATAAATAGACAGATAGTCAGGCACAGACGGGCAGATAATTAGACAGATAGTCAGATAGAAAGATAGATAAATAGGAAGATAAGTCGGCAGTCGATCAGATAGATAGATAGATATATAGGCAGATAAATAGATAGTCAAATCATTAGATCTAAGAAATAGATAGAAAAATAGAATAATAAATATATGAAAAAATCATTTATAGAGAGACAGAGAGATATTCTAGCAAGCAAATAGATATGAATAAATATATAAGGAAATAGATAAATAAGCAAGTAGGCAGATAAATAAGCAGGCAAATAAATAAGCAAATAGCGAGCAAATAATGAAATAAATAAATATAAAAATGAATAAATAATTAAGCGTATAAAAGAATATATCATCAATTAACTAAAGAATCAATTAATGCAAATATATAATTAAATAGATATATAGATATCAATATCTATAACATGCGAAATAGATATATAAATAGATAGATAAAGAAAAAAATAAATATAAAAGCAAGAAGCCAGATAGAAATAAATTCATGATCAAAAAATAGATATATAATCATAAATATAAATAAATTCATTCAAATAGACGAGATAAAAAATCTGCTGAATATATATAGATATCGACAGATATAGATAAATAAATATAATCGATTTAGATAGATAGAAATATAGAAATAAATATACGCAGAGATATATATACCCATATTGATAAGAACAAATGAACAGACCCAGATAGATAGGCAGATATAGGCAGATAATAATAGATAGACATATATAGATAGACAGATGTAGATATATAGATAAACAGAGATAGAAAGATAGAGAAATAGAGAGATAGAGAAATAAAGAATCAGAGAGATAGAAAGATAGAAGATAACAAGTAGCAGGCAAACAATCAATCACAAGCAGATAAATAGATAATCAATCAAATAGATAAATAGACAGACAGAAGGACGGATAGCCACAGCACGTAAAGCAAGTAAAAATAAGACAAATCAAGAGAAAACAAACTTAAATAAAACAGACTAAACTAAGCCAAATTTACAAAGAAAAGAGCAAAATAAAGCACGACAACATATAAAATGAGAACAGATAACCAAATAAGAATAGATAGAAATAGATTGAAATAGATAGAAACAGACAGATTCTCATAGAAATAGATAGATACAGATACAAAGAGAAATAAATAGGCACAGACAGAAATAAATAGGCAGCGATAGACAGAGATAGACAGAGATAGATAGAGATAGACAGAGACAGATAGAGATAGATAGAGACAAATAGAAATAGACAGCGACAGACACAGAGAGGCAACGAAAGCGAGAGGCAGCGAGAGAGAGAGAGAGAGGCAGCGAAAAAAAGAGAGAGAGAGAGAGAGAGAGAGAGAGAGAGAAAGAGAAAGAGAGAGAAAGACAACGAAAGAGAGAAAAATGTACAGAGAGAGAAAAAGAAAAAAAGAGAGAGCTAGAAAGAGAGACATAAAAGCGTAGAAATATAAAGAAAACGATATATTAAAAAAATAATATACATACAGAGAAAGAAAGATCCAAAGCAAGAGAGACACAAAGCAAGAGAAATCCAAAGCAAGAAAAATATAAAGAAAGAAAGATATATAGAGACAGAGACAGAGATACAGACGCAAACAAAGCCAAAGAAATAGACGGACGCCCAAACAGACGCACAGACAGACGCACAGACAGACGCCCAGACCGACCCGCAGACCGACCCGCAAACAGACCGACAAACACAGACGCACAGACACAGACGCACAGACACAGACGCACAGACACAGACGCACAGACAACAGACCCACAGACACAGACACAGACGCACAGACACAGACGCACAAACAGACGCGCAGACAGACACACAGACATACACACAGACAGACGCACAGACAGACGCACAGACAGACGCACAGACAGACACACAAACGGACACACAAAGAGAGAGAGAGAGAGAGAGACACACACACATACAGAGACAGACACACAAAGAGACACACACAGAGACAGTTGCATTTAGGCTTATTTGGAATCTGGGAATTGTAAAACTTCCCGGGAATTCTTGAATTCGGGGATTCGTAAAAATCACCGGAATTTTGCAGGCAGAAAGTCAAAAATCCTGGAGATTTTCTAGAATCCCCGCTCTTATGTGTATACAAGGCCAAAGGCCTCGCCAAAAAGAAGTAAGACACCCGAAGAAGTGGCCGCACAGCAAGACATAACCGAGCCCGTAAGGTTTTTTGGGGTATAAAAAATCGATAAGTTTCTTCTTAAATATATTCTTCCCAAAGAAATAGGAATAGGTGTGTATATATATATACACCCAAATTCTAACTCATCGAAATCTCCCAATATAAATCAGAATTATTAATTCACGAAAGTTCAAACAAATAAGAAAATATCATAGAAATAGATAATAAAATATCGAAAATCAAAAGACATCTATTTAATCGAATGTAATAATATCATGCCATTCATCAATAGAGAAGCCACAAAGAAATAAAAATAATATAATATAATATAACATAATATAATATAATATAACATAACATAATATAATATAATATAATACCCGGTTTCTTTTCAATCCTTCAAAATTTTCGTCGGATCGTAGCCTATATGTATAAATAAATATCATGGCGAGATATTTCTAATCTTCAATATATCTACCAACATTATTGAAAATCTCGATACCAATCCCTGAATGATGTATTATTCAGTTATTCGTATTATTAGTATTATTATTATTATATATATATGTGTGTGTATATAATTTTGCAAATCTCCCGATCAATTTTTGATTTTTTTCTTCCCCGGTACCAGAACCATCATGGACGGGCCATTCAATTGATTGAGATCATTGCCTCGTCCTTGTCCGCCGGCGATAACCGTCCCGCAAGTTGCTCCTGCACAACTGGAATCAACCGGAGAAACACTTTCAACATATATCTCTCCCCGCGCACATCTAACAGCGCTCCAGGCATCCAGCGGGTCACTCGGTTGCTGCCAGCCTCCTTACACAGCGGAGCTTATTTGGGCAACTTTGCTCAGGGCTGAAAAACTTTCAAGAGAAGACGTTGTGCCGAGTGTCTGCGACATAGATGCTACCGTCCGCAGCATCATAGCAAAGGCCACTTGGGGTTTCAAGCTCTGGTAGCGAGCCTACCCCTCCAACAACGATTTCACAGCGTGTCATCCCAGGTGTCCAACGGCTCACGCGATGGTTCCCCGCCTCTGCCACCAAGACGCTGACGCCATCTCTAGATTCTTGGAGGCAGATCGCAGTCGGCGAGGCCAGCTGCTCCAGTGCATCGCCAGAGCCCCTCCCACCCGCAATGACTTCACAGGTCTTGTCCTTCCAACGGGTCACCCTGTCGTTGCCAAACTCTGCGACGTACAGGAAACCTCGCTGCTAAGGTTTGACAGCACACGCTGCACTCATGCGGGTCTGACTTTCCAGGTCTTTCCCTATCTTGGGCGCAGAAACCCAAGTAGTTCCCGTCCGGGGCGCGACTGGACAGCCGAGGGGCATGGGACTGTAGCAGAGTGCTCAAGCTAGGTTTACATGACGCTGCATGGACGGCACTGCGCAGTGCTGCTTCTTGTTTTGCTGAGTTGAAGGCCGAGACGGAGGCGAATCACCACCATTACTTCAATTGACATTGAAGAGCTTCACAGATATCTAACAGTTTAACCCTCATCGCGCCGGAATCAAACCCTCCCGTGTGGTTGCTACAAGTACGTCGCTGTCTGCTTTCGATCCCCCGTAATTCCCCAGTCTTCGTGTCTTCGTCAACCTTACGGCCGAAGCCAAGAAACCCTTGGAGTCGACGGCCACGTCCACCGGGCGGTCCAACTGGTCCAAGCCATCTCCCGGCCCACGGCCACCAGCTACAATGCAGGCCTCCTGAAATTCCTGACTCCAGCAGCCAACAGCATGCCCACGAACATCTGCGATGTAGATCTTCCCCCCGTTGCCCAGACAGATGCCACCAGGCTCCTCCACCTCACCACGGGCTCTGTCGTCGCCAATGACGGCTTGGCCGCCGCCTGCTGCTCCCTCTTTCCGTGGGCACCAACGGGTGACACGACGGTTTCCAGCTTCCGCAACATAGAAAACTCCGGAGTTTTCGTCGAAGCAAAGACCCCTAGGCCCAGCGAGCTGACCCGGCCCGGAGCCTCGCCCAAACCCCCCGACCACGATCCTTCCCACAATGCCTGCTCCGCCTGCTCTCTCGCAATCCCAGTGGGTCACACGGTGGTTGTTCACTTCACTGATGTAAAGTCCCGGAGCTCTGTCGCACCTTTCCAGCGCAAATCTCCCTTTCGGCTCCAACACTGCAGTAAATTCCAGAGCTCCGTCTGGGCACTGGCCATGTTCAAAAGCCGCGCCCTCGATCGTGAGAGTGTCACAGACCAGCAACCTGAAAGTGACGGTGCCAATGCCCTATGCATCAATGCATGCAACAACTAAGCAAGATGTCCCACACTCAGGCAAGATGCTCCCCATTGAGCAGCAGCTGAACCTCATTCCGTGCATGCTGACATGAACCACGAGCCAGAATTTCATTTTGTATGAGCAGCATCTGCCTTGTACTACTGCTTGCTTGATTGCCTGTTCTGTGTCTCATCGCGAACCTGATGCCATGTCGTGCAGAGTCATTTCCTGGAGGGATCTCTCGCACTTCAGAGGGCAAATACGTTATGCTCTCTGACCACGACAGCTGAAAGCTCACTAATTGCCTGCAGATACTGTATGGAAAAGGCTTCGGACCGTAACGATAAATGACGACTTAAAGTAGCATCTAGTGTTAATGGGGCGGAAAGTGGTTGAAGGAAAATTCCTTACACCTCAAGCATAACTTCGAAAGGTGATGTCGGTGTGATCCATGATATATGGCAGCCAGAAACTGTCTCCTGCCGAGTTACTGTTTCCGAGCTCTGCTGCCGCGAAGCAGCTACAAGCTGCCGCAACTCATTGCAGAGTGTGTTCGAAGGAAGTGTCTTGGCGAGGATGACTTCACCTGAAAGCGCCCGCACACTCACCTGGGCTCCTGCCATCCATTCTTTGGGCCTTGGGCCTTGGCCTTGAGCCAAAGTGTGCGGAAAGCGCACGGCGAAGAAGAGCGAGCTCAGAGTCTGAGGGCGGGAAAGCACTTTCCTGCATCGCCGATGGTGAAGATGCAAGCGAGCAATTTCCAGCATTCCTCCTTTCTGGTCCCCCCTCTGACCATTTCTTGAAGATGCCCTATGCGCTTACTTACATAGAATCTCTTCAATACTGCAGGGCCCTAGGCTGCAGGGTAGTGCTCATCACGGTCTGAAGGGAGCTGCTGCTCTACTCGAAGTCATTGGCGATGATAGCACAACCATAGTTTGGCAGAATGTGGGTTCGGCAATGAGGAGTCAGATGGAAGTCAGGATCCCACATTTTGCCTTTTGCTTCCTGAAGCGTTGTACGATCTTGCGGCTATTGTCGTGACTTGGGACTGATGGTTCAATCTGCAACGCTGAGTTGATTGCACTCCGCTTCAGAGGTGACACCAAAGTGGACATGGCATCCACGGTCTCCAGCCAGACTGTCAGGGACAGCAGTCTTTGCGATATCGAAATTATCATGGCTTTCAGCTGCAAGAGCCTGGAAAGGCGAGAGAAGCCATGCGTGTTCCGCCGGCAGTGTCAGCAGCATCAGCCATAGGCTTGACGGGCCACTACCTGGTCACGAGAGTCACAGAGAAGCAGAGCACCTTCTGCAACGGCTACTCATGCGATGCACAAATGTCCCTCTCTGACATGCGTATCTCGACCTACCGACCCCAATGTAGTGAAACTCCTGTACCGACTCTCTCTCGTTTCAAAATCAAACGCCCAGAACTCTAGACTCTAGATTTGACTTGACATGGCCTTCGGTGGTAGAGTGACCAGCTGACGCGACGAGACACCTGTGGGAAAACTGCGACAGGATTGCAATTCGCGCTGCGGTCTTCGAATCCAAGCAAACCCACAGCATATCGCTCTCTAAGAAGAGATTTGTAAACTGTCAAATTATGTCAGATTGGTTTCGTCGCCAGTCAGTAGAGTACACGAAAGGAGCGTGCGAAGCTTGGGCCCGTCCGTGTGCCGGAGCAACCGAGGGCTGCGCTCAATGAGCTTTGCACTGGAGTGGCCATAGTGGCCTGGACATCTGTAGGAGCCCGAAGAGCAAAATTTAGGGTTTACGGTTTTGGGACGGATACCAGCTTGCGGAGTCTCCAGTGCAAAGGAACTAGCCACTTTCTGATGTTTGTGCTCAGGATGTCTGCGGTAGGTGTGTTTCATTAGGATCCTACACTGGCAAGCACTTTAGACACACCCAAAACAAGCGCCTGCACGCCAGGAATCCAAATAAGTGAAGGTCAACACGGCTTCATGAGCTGGGTCCAAAAGACAGGGAATTTTCAGAAGGGTTGGTGTATTAGGGGTTAGGGTTTAGGGTTGATAAAGATACCCCGAGGCATAGGCTAGCACAGGGTCTATGGTAGGCTCCGTCCACCCCGACCATAGGGCCTGTGGGTCCTCTCAAAACACCCTGTCCGCACAGCCCCGTCCGCACGACTCACAGGCCTACGACAGGCCGTGTCGACCCCTGCCACACCCCTGCCACAGACCCTCTCTGTCGACAGCCCTACCCAAAGGCATATGACAGACCCTTGGGCGCTGTCAAAGGCCCTGTCCATAGACCCTGCTCCGCTCGACTCGATAAAGGGCCTGTGGACTAGCTCGATGCCTACTACTACTACTACTACTACTTCTACTACTTCTTCTACTACTACTACTACTACTACTACTCCTGCTACTACGACTACGACTACGACCACTACTCCGACTACGACTACGACTTCTGCTGCTGCTGCTACTGCTGCTACTACTACTGCTCCTCCTCCTCCTCCTCCTACTACTACTACTACTACTACTGATACTCCTACTCCTACTCCTACTCCTCCTCCTCCTCCTGCTGCTGCTGCTGCTACTACTACTACTTCTACCCGACGGTG